CTGTGCGTGGCTTTGTAGTTACCCTGACAAAGGGGTTTCCAGGTACTCCGTACATCCTGCAGAAAAATTTGAGCTAAAACGCGAGGTGTTTTCTAGCAAGCACTGTGACATTAATTTCAGTGAGGCCTGGCTTTCCCTGGCCAAATACCTCTTCCTGAGCATATTTTAAGTACTTCAAAAGACCTTTTTTCTGGAAGATGGTCTTCTCTACATATAAACTTAATCATGATGTAAATAATCACAGATATGAAGGGTCACAAACTGTTCTAAAGAAGAATTTTTTAAGCTGCTGAGTGTGTTTTACTCAGGCTGGCTGAGCTGTATGTCCAGTGGAATTGAAATTGTTGACGTTCAGTTCAAGACATTGTAAGCCTTTTGAAATGCTAATTTAATATTCAGAAAAAACAGTTGAAGTGGAATTTATCTTGTCTAAAATAATGTTGGGAAATAGAAACCTTGTTGAAAACCACTTTGGAGGGAGATGTTTCCCAGTGTCTACAGTTGTTCTCTACACATAGGTGCTACAAAATCTTCCTTTTATTTGTTGGACTTATTAAATACTTATGTTCAAAGGAATTTTATTCTATAAATTGCGTAGGTCACTTAATTTGCTTTGGGAATTGTTATTGATGCTTCTGTTGTTCAAGCTAAATTCAGCTGAAAAGTCATGTTCCTTGTTTTAAGGAAAGAAAAAAAAGATGCAAGTTCCTGGGTTTTGTAGATTAAAACCATACAAGATTTTATAACTGTCCCTAAAAGTTAAAAGATCAAGTGCTTGTTTGTTTTTCCATGAAAATTTCCTAAAAGTCATGCCTCATACTTTGCATAATCTATTGTAACGTTAAATGGAATAGCATTTTCAACTAAAGAAGGAAAATAAACCCCTGTGGAGGGTTACAAATAAATCTCAAACATGCATTAATAATATTAAATTTTTGCATCAATGTATTTTTTTTGTTTTTTTTTTTTTTTTTTTTAATGTACTCACTATTTACACAATACCTGAAAATAATTACTCAGTTTCACCTTTGCATCTAGCATATTGAGGTTTTAAATTTACTTGTGTGGAGCTAAGATGGCTTGATTAACATGGCAGTCCTGGAGTGTTCAATTTCAGATTTTAAAGAGTCAAAAAATACTTGGGAGTATTTAGGGGGGAGGGGGGAAGAATTATGTAAACTTTTTTTTTCCCCTGAACCTGAATTTTGAGCAAAGAAGGCTGAAAGTTTATTAACAGTCTCAATGCAACGTGTCAACGTGGGACAAAAAGAATTGTGTTTCATATATTTATTAATGTTATTCAGTCTTTGTCTAGGATATGTAAAGGCTAGGAGTTGTGTAAACGTACTTTTGCAGCAAAATGAGGACGGGAAAGCAGTTTTAATTTTTTTTTCATTATGTATTTGATTGGAGTTTTTGAAACAGTGACGTTGACATTGTTACACAAGTCATGCGACTGTTCTCATCAACTGGTCTGTTACAGCAGTGGTGCGACTTTGCACTTTGCTGTGATGAGTAATACAGTACATAGGAGTTTTATCCTGATGTAAAAATTAACTTTTTAAATATTACTTAACATTTCTTTCATGGTTGTCACAAGCTTTCCTTTCGGTATACTGTCCTCCATCTGCTTCCTTGTTTTCACCTCTTTCCCCCTCCTGAATTACTCACTGAGTCATCATCCACGTCTCACTGCATTTTGCTGTCACATACACTTTCTTTGCTTTCTTGTTTCTTTCTGTCATGCCTTATGTATTTGGTGAAGAAAACTTCTCAGATTGGGTGTTTCGTGGTCCTGCAGCTTGCATGTTAGAGCCTGAGGTTGTCTTGACCAGTATCTTCTGTTTGGGGAAGGAGCAGACAGGAATGGCACTGCTAGTAATACACTGAATGTGGTGTAAAACACACAGCGTATTCCCAGTTCTGCGCTTCAGAGGTCCAGCTCCTGCAGAAAAGAGACTGTATCATCGAAAGTGTCGGGAATTTGATCAGTAAATGGCTTTTCACTCCTTTTGAGCTAAGGTTGAAGGAATAAGACAAACTGATGCTTCATTCCCCTTAAAATGTCTGACTGCCTACCTTGATAGGTAGACTTCATAGCTGATGTCTGGCAGGAGAAGAAAGAATATAGCATGACCATGACAGAAGTGAGGCAAGGAAGATGGGGAGTAGGAATGAGCTAGGTGAGATCTTTGGAAGTTATGTGGGACAGTCTCGTACTGTGGGGGTGGAGCAGTGGCTGTAGTTGTCAGCAGTCACGTGACCATATAGGTGGGAGTTGTACCGTAACGCTGTTGTGGTTCACAACCAGCCACAGAGCAACAGTTACAGAGTTTGGGTCTTTTTCACTGTTCTGATTAAGAGGCAAGGCAGGGAGGATTTCAGAGATGACTGTGCAGTTAGCTGTCTTTAAGAAATTTGTTAGAATGCCCTTTGTAGGCAAAGAAGATTATTTCATAGTTATTTTCATCTCTTTCCCACAGTGGGTTTATTTTCTGGTGCATATTTACTGTTACTTTTTAATTTCTGAGAAGACAGTGTATTCCGGTTGGGTTAAATAACTCTAAAGGAGATATGTTTTTCTTGCATTTAGTTAAATATATTCTTTAATCATAGCGGTGATTCCATTCCTTTATGTTTCTGATCTATGTGTGTCTTGTGAACAACAGTATTATTTAACCTGTAATAATTTTTTAAAGTTTGGATGCACTTCCCTGAATATTTTATTCTTTCTCTTAAGACAGTTTCTCTATTGTCTTTAATTTATACCTTAAGAAGTTGGTGTTTTTCTTTACAAATACTCAATCCAAGTATGTGACATTGACTAGAAACTTAAGTATTGTTATTTTTCAGAAAGTGAATTGGCTTAAAGAGTGCTTGCTTCAAAGAGACCCAGTTCCTGATCAATGCAAAGCTGGTGATAAAACTAAGCGAGGAAACACTACCCTCTTATATTTCCCCCTCCATACAAATACTTAAAATTATTTGGCTCTGGTAAGCCCTGTGGCCACTTACTTTCCTTTATTAACTAATCCATTGCATTTACTGTGTTTGTATCTTTTTCATACCATTCTCTTCTCTGGTCACATGTAGCAATTTGTCTTTCTTTTGCTTTTTCTTTCAATCTGTTCGGAAGTGTAGAGACAAATTTGGCAACATTGCTTCTAAGCAGAAATTCTGTCTACGTGGTGCTGCCTGCAGAGTGAAACTTTCCAAAGCAGATTGAAGAGATGTCACTGTGATCACTTCTAAAGTGTGGAGCATTTTACTGACTTCTGCAATGCATTGAGTATCAGCTGTTGGAAAATAAGTAATCTATTAAAAAAAAAATCCTGAAACTTTAAGCCATCTGTTGGTTATTTCTTACTTTCGTACATTATGTCTTTTTTGTGTGTGAGTGGTAAGAATCTCTTGCCTCACATTACCAAGCAGACCTGGAGATTTTCCTATTGCTTGAGCGGAGATAAATCATCTTATGTATGGATTTTGTTATGACTTCTTTATACTGTATTTAACACACGGAAAAAACTCTGTCTTTAGAGGGCAATAGCTGTAGTTAGTGGTGTCTTTGGACATAAATGCTGTCTTTAGAGGAAAAGATGGTTAACCTTCTTGTGGGATTTTTTTTCTTTAGGGTTGCTCTAGCAAATGATCTGAAATACAAACCTAATTTCAAATTCATTTTTTGCATCTGTGTTTTTCTTTTTTCATTCTCTCTTGGTGGTCTGTGTTAAAGTATTTTTCTATCCTAATGAAACTAGGAGAATCATGACCTTGCGTCCTTTGTAATGCCAAAAAAGAAATGCAGAAGAGTTTTGCCCTCAGTTTTTGTATCTGCATGTAGACATTGAAAATATTCCAGCACAGTTGTTTGAGATGTGGTTAAATAGTTTATAAATGTTTGTTTGACAACTTCAAATTTATTTTGCTGTAATACATTTTCAGCTTGAGTGTATTTTATTTCTTAACTTCTCTAGGCTAATAAGGGCATAGGGTGAAAAAGGAAGTTATAATATGTGTAGTAGAAGCAAAAAAAGATAATAATTTCCTTGGATCTATTGTCTGTTTTAGACTGGATTTGGGAAGGTGCCAGCGTACTTTCAACTCTCATTGTCTGCAGTGGGATCTGAATACTCTGCATCAAAAAGGAATTATTTTCCATATTTCATTGGAAACTACACAGAACCACCCAATAAGAGATTCTTGCAAATAAAGCTTTGTTTATATTTTGTAGTCTATGTGTACTGATTTAAGATTGTGGTTTAAAAGCTAATGCAGAGGTTTTCTATTGTAATGGTATTGGTTTTTAGAGGCCTCATGAATACTTTAGTGTTCTTTATTTTTTCTCTATTGGAGAGGTCACTGTCTTGAAAGTTTCGGTTTGTAGCCTTAATTTAGGTGAAGAGTTCAAAATTCCTACTATTTATGTTACATAGGTCTGTTTTGACATCTTTTTTGGACAAGTTTAGAGGAAAAGGATAGGTAAATATAAGAGCTTAATGCTTTTTTGCAAGTTAGACAAAAGCATGGGATTTGGAACAGTATGTGATTACTTTGAACATGCCACAACTTGCTGTACGCACCTGGGCCAATGACTTATGTACACTCTGAGCGAGGAAACACTCGATAAGCATGTGGTACTACCTGGTAGGATTGGGACCCTATTATGTTTCCGCTCTCTCATTTGTAAATGGATGATGTTTGCCTAGATTATTGGGATGCTGAGAACACAAACCTGGAGAGGGATCAGTACAGTTTGCTGCTGTTTGCCTGTCCCTTTTCATTTTGTGTAGCTTCCCTCTGTCACTGTGCGTTTGAGAGGGCTACATTAACATATATTTGTAAGAGTGGAAAATGATTAACACTTACTTTACTCCAACATTCTATGTATTGCGTATTATGAACAATCCCCAAAGTGAAGTCTAGATTAAATATCATTAACACATTTGAATCATGCGTTCGAATGAAAATGCAATCATATCTTAATTTGTGTTTTATAGGAAGAAAAGGCTTCTCTCCTGCATCGTACTCAGGAAGAAAGGAGAAAACGAGAGGTAAAGTAGAGTGTAAGCGTTTGCATGCACACTGAATTTCTCTTTAATGTAGTAACATTTACAGTCCAAAGTACTTTATTCTGCTGCAGTCGTACTTAGTTCAACAATGTTTTGTTTCAGTTTGCAAGTTCTACGTAGTCTTCCAGTATACTAGAATTGAGAAACTGTTTGACTGCTTTTAAGGTGCTTCCCAGAAGTGATTTTCATCTCAAAAGAAGGTGGTTAGGCATGCACTGGGTTCAAAGGGAATTTTCCCTTTCATTTTGGTGCTCATTTGATCTAGTCTTTATTAAGAAAAGGCAGGTATTGAAACAGTAAATTGTATTTTTCTGCCTTGTCCATAATCTCTTACTATGGGTTGGTCTCGGCAAACTGTTTTCTGCTCCTGGTTCTGCTGTAGTTTCTCGGGTGACCTTGAGCAATTCGCTTCCCCAGTGTGTGCTTCGGTTCTGTGGAGGTAGAATGCCTTGCACTTCATAGAGTTTTGTCCATATACAGAAATAACCCATTTAGTTGCTTAATTCTATCTGCTGCACAGCTGATGCAGAGTCGTATACTTTTATCTGTATACGTACACACACATACACACAATGATTTTCTGTGACATATATCGGATTCTTACAAAATGAATGACTCCTTTGAGAATAAAATCAGTTGTGGCTTTTAAAAAAAAAATGTCTGTAGCAGAATCTTAGCAGTGACCTCAGACTTAAAACTTTTGCAGTTATGGGTCGCTAATTGACAATTATGTATTCTAGGATAAAACCTGTATCTAGTGAAAAGGAGAACATAGCTACTTTTTAGTTGAGCATTATGTTATGATTATGAGGAGACGATGCATCTCAATTATTGAAACTCTCTACTGCTGCCCCCATACTTTGCACTGTTACTGTTAGATGCCTTGGGGAGAAAAATACTCTTTGGCCTATCAAAATTTTGATTTTGGTCTGTGCTCTAGAGGTAATTAGAGTAATTAGAGTCTTTCAAGTACATGGTTATTCTGAGAAATTGCTTTAGAAATCGGGGTTTCCAAGATAGGCATTGAATAGCAAATTCATCTGGTGTTTCCCTGGTCAGTTCAGGTTAAGTTCAAGTTTTTGCGAGTTGAAGTTTGTGAACTTTCCCAAATGTATTTCAATGAAATTTATAAAAACTTTGTGGTGGTTTGTTTTGCTTGGTGACCTGCAGAATTATAGGCTCATTATAGTGCAAGGATTGATGAAATTAAAATTTCCCTTCGCAAAGCAGGTTCCTCTCATTTTTACTCTCGATCTTCCTACTTTCCCTTCCTCAACCATTGCTTTGTAGCTCTAGGTTCATGACAAACTACTTTATTTACTTCCCTCTTCATCCCCTAAGAAACTATATGGACATTATTAGAAACCTAATTACAATAGCCACTTCCCTTAGAGACTTACTATAATGGGATATGGTGGGGGTGTTGTCAGGGGACTCACTGAGTGCTCTTTCCATAGTACCTGAGCAAACTGGCTTTCAGTTCCCCAGAAAGTGAGCCATTGTAAAGGGATGATTTTAAATATGCTTTCTAGCTACCGAGGGAGACATCATAAAATGACTCACTTTATATGTCTGGTTTGAAGGAGAGAGCAAGAATTTTTATTCATTTCCGTATTGTGCTCCTGGGCTTAAAGCGTTAAGCCTTATTTTCCTTTTGACAGCAGTACTGTCTCCACATAACTTAGGGTTTGTTTTGGTTTTGGTATTTTATTTTCTTTTTGTGGTTTGTGTTTTTTTTTCCCCATGTCTAAACTGCACCAGACTCATAATACTGATCAATTATTTGAATGGAAACAAATAAGCAGGTCTTCTGTGTTAGCTGATCTATGCAGAAAGAGGAATGGTGTCATTGAATTTGATGAATTAGTATTAAGACTTTGTCTAATAAAATACAAATGTGTTTATTTTGATTTCTGTAGCATTACATACTTATGAGTATTAAAAATTATTTTGCAATGTCTTAATGTTAAATTTACATTTAAAAGCATAAAAAGCTTTCTCCCTGATTCATGTATATTAAATGCAAACTTTCAAGCACTTTATTTTACTAATGATTAGTGCTTAATTGTAATTTTAAAAGATCCTTTTCAATACAAATATATTTGATAAAATTGTCTAAATTAGAGTCAGTGCCACAATATTGATTTTGATTTTCTTGCATTGTTTCACAGGAAGAAAGGCGGAGGCTGAAAAATGCAATAATAATCCAGTCATTTGTAAGAGGGTACAGAGACAGGAAACATCAAGTAAGTATTTATTTATTTATTTAGGAAGATGTAAAACAGTTTTGTTGAAAATGAGACTTTCTAGTAATAAGTAATTCCATTGAAAAACCTTCACCTTTTTGAGTATTGTGTGAGCTGACGAAGTGCAAGTTCCTTTTCCCTTTTTCCCTCTTCACATTTTCATTTGAACTTCGGTATTTTAGTAGATGGATGTTTGTTCTGCAAAGCATGTGTGTGACTCAGGTGGACTTCAGTAGGATTATGCAATGGTTTTTTTTTAGCTGACAAAGCATACAAAAACAGTTGGGTATTAGCAGCTTTCACACATCGGTCAAGGTGGTGGGTTTTTTTCCCAATATGACTAAGGTGGTAGTTTGAATCAAAAAGTTGTTCTTTCTAAGCTGCTGTTGAGTAGATTATTCTAAGAAAGTGTTGTATCTGTAAGTTTACCAGTATTTATTAAGTGAAATAGATGAAAACGTTTGTTGTGATAGTCTTTACTTGAATAGCAACAAATTTGTTGCAGTGTGTACTTTTTGAATTACGGAAAGCAGTTACAGCCTTAACTATGATACTGTGTGTATGTTTTGATCACTTAACACATATGTGTTGTATCCATTTTACTACTTTGCTGCCACTTTGGGAAACTGAAATGAGGTTTTGAAGATTTTGCATCTCTATTTTAAGTCATAACCATTATTGATATATTGATACATGTCTTATTTTTAAGTACTCTATCCAAAGAAGTGAATTTGATCGCTGTGCTAATTTGGCTCAATCTGGAGGAAGCTTTTCCACTGCTGATGGAGCTAATTTGACTCTCTTAGTCCGTCAGTTACTCTTTTTCTATAGACAGAATGAGGATTCTAAGCGTTTGGTGAGTACTGTTACATACTTTGATCCATAGTACTTTTATTTCATGCACTTTTAAAGTACTCTTTCAGTTGAAAGATTTTGAAGTGATGCAAAAAAGGCTTTGACCAGTTCAGTAAATTCATTTAAGAATTCTGGCTTTTGCTGCCCTGCACTCTGCTGTTTTTTGTTTAGACAGAATAACTTAAAATTAGATTTTATATGTGAACGCACACACACAAAATCTCTGAAATGCAGCCTTGAAAAAAATCCTGTGTGTATTATTCACAATAATTTATTCAAAATAATATACTTCTATTAAAATTTAATTTTTAAACAATATTTTCCACTCTGGTCATTCCTAAGGTGTTTGTTTTTTGTTGTTTTTTTTTTTTTTTTCCTCACTGGTCAATAATGCTGGCATATCAATTGCAAAGTCACTGCAAATTTCCCAAATGCACTAGTAAGTATAATTCATAGTGGGTATTAATAATGGATGTTAAAGAATTATGGCTACTTAAACCCAGAAAATTAACAGATAAATTTGTTGCAAGAGTAGAGTTATTTGTAAATGTAATTCAGTCTTAACTTTGAAAGTTTAGTACTAGCAGTCATGTAGTTTGTTGTGTAACAATTTTTTTTTCTCAGCTGAACATGATTGCTTACTTTCTCTTTTGTACGTCCTCCAAAGGTATCCAAACCAGCATTGAAATATTACTATCTGTGTTGCAATAAATAATATACCCTGTTGTTATAAACAGTAATCCTGTGCATATCTCTTCCCAGGTATGGATGTGTCAGAATTTAATTAAACAGAGTTCTCAGTTTGTTAAGCAATTGGATGGTCCAGACAGACTTACTTGCTTATTCCAAATAAAAAGACTGTTGGGGCTGTGTTGCAGGTAAACTATTTTTTTCTATATGCTACAATGCTAAAAGCATTCAGAAATTATGTTGGGCATTTTTTTGTTTATTTTTGCAGCAGGTGAAGTATTGAATGTGAATTTATCTTACAGAGCAGATTGTTTACTTTAAAAATATATGTAGGCTATGGTATAGGATACTTGTTCCTGTGTAAGAACAAAGGTATTGACTTCCAAGTTCAACGTGTGCTTAAGGGATGCCCTGCCTAGGGACAGGCTTAAGTATGTTCTTAACTGTTTGCATGTAGTGGTATCATTAACAATATTTATGGAAACCAGAAGGTTTTCTTGGGAACTGGTAGTGATTAGAGGTTACTATCTGAGTTAGGCTAATGTTCCAAGGATATGCTTTGGATATATTTTGTTTTAAAAATAATATTTAAGATGCGTTTTCGCACACTTTAATTTGAATTCAAGGAATGTTAAGTAGTTACATTACTGGCTTCAGCAGTACATTTATTATTTGTAGTGGGAGGATCCTGGGAGGATCACAGGAAGGTAAATCTATCAAGGTGACTTGAATAGCTGGCAGCTAAAGCCTGGTGTTAGAAAACAATATATTTGCTCTTATTACTAATCAGAATGAGTTACACTCTCCAGAGCTTTAAAATAGTGTTTTTTCCCTTTAATGTTGAGGCTTTTTTAGGAAATAGTTTCATTCAAGTTACTGAACTGTTCTTATAATTGCGTATACTGTATGTATAATAAACAGTGACACCAGATACCAAAGAAGACTGGAGTGGGGGGCTTCTGAGTCCACATATAGTAGAACACAGCTCTGGTGTCACTGGATTGAATTGTATGTTTTCACTACAGTTGGAATTGTGGTTTTGTAAATGTGGCTCTGTTAGTATTCCCATTCTCCTTTCCTTACTGGGTGATGTGGGAAAACAAAAGGAGTGGAAGAGCTGTTCCTGCCTATGCATATTGGGAGAATGGAGGAAGAAGCTCTTCCTATCCTCACCTTGCCAGCATGATGATGGGTGTCTATACTTGCTTTCTGAGCTATTTTAATTTTCTGCAAATCCTGGAAAACGGGCAGTGGGACAGGTAGCCAAAAAAGTGCTTTCCTGGGATAAGTTCAGATTCATGAGAAGCTGTAGCTTTTGATGCTATGGAAAAATAAGGTGACTGTCTAATATCATAGCATAAATACGGTGGTTTGATTGCAGCTACATCTGCAAAAAAGGTCTTGTCAGAGTATCGTTTTCTCTGTTTAGTGAAATAACTTAGCTATGGTGTCAAAATAACTTTTGCTGATAGGTCCCTGTCTTCCTGAATGGCTGGGAAAAAGCATGTTATTAGGGCAACTATGCCTATATACATCTCGTACTAACAAATCCTTTTAATTCTAAACAGGCTCTTAATAGTCACCATTTCTGTGATTACTGGTAGTCGTTTCATAAGCAATTTGCTAAAAGGATGGGGATGGTTGTATTTTTAATATTTCAGTCTGTAATCAAGGACATATTGTTTTAGTTATACATAAGACGTTCTCCAGCATTTGTTCCCAGCCCATATTGCTCTGGGGCTTTCATGACTTCATTTTTAATATGGGTAGTAATACATATTGGAAAAACATGTCTTATTCTTTGCTTCCCTTCCTGTTCATGCAGTAGACCTTCAAATTGTCAGTCATCGAAAGCAAGAATTTAGTAGGATTTAAAGAGAGTGTGCTATATTTGTAGAAATCCTAAAATCAGGAATTACTGTTATAAAGATGCCAATAAAAAACTACTGAGAACACTTGGAAACCAAGTAGAAATAAGTCATTGTAAGGAGAAAGTGGAAAGATTTTTTGGTATTTTTATTTTTAAATTGGTGTGCATATGCCTGTGGTGAAATAAGAGAAATATCTTGTTAAATAATTTTGCTTTCGTTTTGTTTCTAGGCTATTGCAAAATTGCAATGATGACAGTCTGAATGTTGCACTTCCTATGAGAATGCTTGAGGTATTTTCATCTGAGAATACGTATTTGCCTGTTTTACAAGATGTCAGCTATGTGACATCATTAATTGAACAAATTTTGCACTACATGATTCAAAAAGGTGAGTAGCTAGGAAGTATAAGTTCTGGGAAATATTCAAAAATTAAACACAATGAGTAATACCTGAAGACCACTGTTGTTTAATCATGTTTTGCCTTTACCACAGACACAATGAATTAAGTGCTGCATACACTAACATATCATAGATGGATATTTTGCTTGAGATCATTGCTTGAGAAATTACCATTCGATTTCTTTTGAAATTCTGTTTATAAATTGAATATTCTACCAAGTTACTTACACAGACTTTTACCACAGATTTTGAGAGTAGGTGGATATTATCTAACAGAAGTTTTATTTGAAGAGCTGTTTATGTCTGCACACACGCCCACATGCTGTGCCAGGTCTAAGCTTTTGTTGTGTAAAAGTTAGGCATTGTTTTGCAGTACTGCTCTCTATAACTGCTAATGTTCATTATTATCATAAATTGGTATTACCTTTTCATCCTGCTAGCACCAGAGGAACCTCAGCAAAGAGATGGTGAACTAGCTTTTATTTCCCTTGTACCATCATGGGCAAAACTGTTTGCTAAACTGCAGTTACACCTGTGCAAACATACCGAAAGTTAATGAACTGTGTAGTTGTCACCAAGATTACGTTTTGTCTTGAAGAAACTTTATTACTCTGGAAACATGCAAAAAACCCAATTTGACTTTCTGATACCATAGCTTGAGTTTGCATGACTTGTGGATGGGGGGAAAAGACAAAAACATTATGAAATGAACATCTTGGATCTGTCTTCGTTGGTAGAAAACATAAAAAGAGCACCTTCCAATTTGTTAGTTAATTGTTGGAATAGTTTTGTGTTTGTAAGTTTTAAAGTACATTCAGTGGACTAGGCTATCTTATGCTGTTATTAAGGATCTTTGGTTTTAACTACTACACGTTGAAGTCACTATGAGGAAAAAAAAAATATTTATTGTAGGACATCTGTTTTACTTGCTAGGCATAACTAAAACTATAGAAGTATTTGTATTTGTCTCATTGCTTACTATATATCTTCCAGAATACTTTAATACATTATACTTTGTTCTTTTAGTATAATATTCAGTTCTCACAACTGATCTATGAAAGTTTATCAAGATGTTAGATTATAAATTTTAGTAAAAAAATTCAGCTTTCTGATCACTTACAATCAAAACAAAAAGTGGCTGTGTGCAACTACGGATGTTCTGTCTCCTAATCATTTATGATGGTTATTTTGTAAACAATCTGTAATCAGCTTTTTAGTATATGTTTTTGTATGCAGTTTGTCTTCCATGTGCGTCTTGTCAGCATCGCTAAGTTATTCCTTTATGGTGATTTCCACTTGTTGCGTTGTATGTCAAGTTAGGTAGTCCTTGTCAAAGGATCTTAGACTGGACCTGTCAATAATACAACACTATTTATGCATTTACAGTGGTTCCTGCAGTTTTGGAACTTGAGTTTAGGAGTTCATTGGGCAAAAGTACGTTGGTTTAAGAAGAATGAATTTGTGTGATTCCATTTGTACTTTAGTGAGACAAAAATAGATTATGCTCTACACGTGGCTGGCGTTGTAACGTATTTTATTACTGTCTGAGAGATCCCTGTTTTGGGAAAAGTAATTGTATTCTTCAGCCTGTTAAGGCAAGATGTTTATAGTATTGAGACATTCTGCCAACAGGACTGTTATCTGTATGGTGGAGCCATGTTTTGGAGTAGAGGGCAAAATTCATCATTTCTGAAATGCTGGGAGGACAGCTGCCAAAAACATGACTAGAGTCACTCAGAGGAGAAAGAATGTCTTTCTCATACATCATGGTTTAAAAAAATCAAAGTATTCACATCGTCAGCAGAGCAGTCGGTCTTTGAAAGATCAAACTGACTCTGAATGCAATCGTCTATCTATGATTTTATAAAGTTACGTTTCCAAAGGGGTTGATGGTATATTCTGTTAGTTATGTGAATGTGACTTGGACCATTGTAAAATTATTCCGAAGTAAAGCTTCATGCAATGAATTGTAAAGTATTTTTCAAGTTAAAAATGTTAAGTATATAAGTTGTTTTATATGGAAAAGAAGGAAAGTAATACTGTATTGAAAAAGTGGTGTTTCTTATTTGCAGGCTACTACAAGTCGCTTTATTTGTTAATTAACAATAAGCTTCCCTCGAGTATTGAGTATTCTGATGTTTCTCGAGTCCCTATTGCAAAAATACTTCTGGAGAATGTTCTGAAGCCATTGCACTTTACATATAGCTCCTGTCCAGAAGGTGCAAGGTAAATAAAGATAATATTAGGTATTTCTATACTTATTTCTTATTGCAAAGGTGCACAGTTTGATTATCTAGCTATTCTTTCAGTGCAGTTTGTTGATTTATTTGCATTAGTAATGATTTTTTGGTAATGCTTTTCATCATTGAAACAATGTAGTTTCAGGTGTGTTTAAGAAAAAGGCAATAAAATGCCGAAGAATGCAATAAACAGAGCACAGGGAATAGCAGGTATTGCAATGTGTAGGAACATACATGTGGAAAAAATTAGATGAGTGCAGAGATGCAGCTAAGGGCAGATGAAAAGAATTTTTAGAGTTAAGAAGAACTTTGTGGCAGAGGAGCTGAGGTTTATGAAGAGAAATAACTAAGTCATAGGTATTTCTTTCAAGAACAAAGTGTCGGGTATGTTGAAAGATGGAACAAAAATCAAACTCTGGTTGTATCACGTGATAGTGTTTTGTGTTAAAGTAGTATTTTTTTGGGAAAAAAAAAATTAAAAAGCACAATTAATTTTTTATTTCAAGAATGTAAACAACAAATTTAACTTCAGAATAGTTTTCTGTGAGTTCCTGAAAAGTGTAAAGGATGAAATTGCATGCAAGATCATCAGGAAAAGCATGTAGTGTAAGAAATTAATTTTTGAGACATCTGAGAAATTTGGTTTATTAGTGCAGGATTAATGGAGCACATCCTTGCAGTCTTCTTGATGGACGTGTTCAAACTTGCAAATTGATCTGTTATTCCAGAGATATAATTGTGGGAAAATTTGCCTATATTTTCTATAAAGACAATTTTTCTTCATTTCAGGCAGCAGATTTTTGCAGCCTTCACAGAGGAGTTTCTGGCAGCACCTTTTACGGATCAGATATTCCATTTCATCATTCCAGCGCTTGCTGATGTGCAGACCATTTTCCCTTATGAACTCTTTCTGAATGCACTATTATTAGCAGAAAGTGGATGTTCAAGAAGAAGTGATCAAGCCCCATGGCTTTTTTACTTTGTGTTAACAGTTGGAGAAACATATTTGGGTGAGACCGCTGAATGGCCAATTCAGTGTTTTTTTCATATTTGAGTTAATATGTTATGTGTTTCCAGAGTGTGATTCACTACCAAGCAAAAAGGACAGTTTGTGGATACAAGTATTGGAGAGATCTGTTTTATTAGTTATTCTTACCTTTTTCAGTAAAAAATACACTTAATTTGGGAAGATTTGGCATAATGTGTTTTGGTCAGGTATTTCTGGTAAAATATATTTTATAGTACGGTGTGACCTGAATAACAATCTTTTATTTCAATGTATGTGCTATAGGCTCCCTTTCAGAGGAAGGACTTCTTGTGTATCTGAGGGTACTCCAGACTTCCCTCTCTCAGCTGCCTGTGTCTACTGCTGGTACAAACTGTCAAGATGCAAACAGCGATTCTGAAGATGAGGATGAAGAGATCAGTAAAATGACAACTACACCAGTAAGCAGTACAGAATTTCTTTGAATGACTTTCTATTATAGCAGCAGCAGATACAGGCAGAAACACGATCACCGTAAGCCCGCTATTTTCCTAGCTACATGTAGAAGGGAGCATGTTTACTTCTTACAAATAGATGGCTGCTCACTGTAAGCAAATGGAACTGGTTGCTTACCTGAAAAATGAAACGGAACAAAAAAATCAACAAACAAAATCCTGACTATAATAAGAAGTCTTAAAATACAGGTAGTGTGTCTTCTGAAGGACAGAGCTTTTATTGAACAGAAAGAGTTTAAACTTCTCTGCTTTAAATTTGTATTTTATAGAGACTGTATTACTCTCTGTATTCTTCAAGTCTGTGATGATGCTAAGATATCATAAAATGCACCAATGTGATCTTCCAACTTAGTATTTTCATTTTTTTTCTCATGGAGATACTATAAATTCAACTGTAGTCTTTACCCTGTAGAATTAGCTCTGTATTTAAATATATCCACTACCTTGAAAGCCCTTGAAGAGGGAACACCTGCTTTCTATAGTAATGTATAGAGACTGTAGTATAAGTAGGACTTTTCACTATAGTTTAAACTTCCACCAGTAAAATGAACCCATGCTAACTTTAACCTAACACTCGGACCAAGGCTTTGAACAACCAAAGTTGGAGAGATGTGAACAGTTTCTTACTGGCCTTCATATTATCTCTCAAAAGACACTACCATTCAAAGGACGTACGCAGTGTGCAGTCCTTAGTTGTGGAATGTGTGAAATTTAACCATATTTAGAGTTCATTTAAAAAAAAAATAATATTTTACCTCTCCACACTGAGCTGGGAATTCTACATTTCTGTCTCTCAGGCATTCTAAGGCTTCCTGGCATTTTTTGAAGTGTTGAAAGCAAAAGTGTCCCAGCTCTATAATGCCTACTTATATTTCATGTAAGGTGGTATATGTTTCTGAAAGATACAGCTTCTTGAAGACCTAGATATTGAGAGTAGCCTCTTATAAAAACCTGTACTGTTGGGGAATATGTGCAACCTTTTACTTGTACGTTTTTAAATGCAGTGTGTTACCATTACCCTGAAATCTCTACCAAGACAGTGTGAATAAAATACTTAATTTGCTAGCCGCGCACACACTGTATGTGATGTAAGTACTGGCAGATTCTACTTGTGGCTTAGAGATACTGGTGATATTTAAGAGGTGATTAGGTAAAAACAAAGAATAAATTTTTGTTCACATGTGACTTGCAATAATTTGTAAATGAGAGAAAATCTGTTCTGAGGCGGCTTTAATAGATAATACTAATTATTGCAATACATTTTTCTTGTTTCTTGTGGGAGTTTTTTATGTATTCCATATCTTTATGCATACCTGTCTTACAAAAAAAAAAAAAAAAGGGTGGTTGGGGAACCCCTCTTTCTTAAAAATTCATAATTGAATAACTTGTATCCTTCAATGGGCCAGACTGCTTTGCTCTGTTGGGGCCAACATAAAGACAGGAAATGAGGAAAAGAAAAGGTTGAGCTCCACTCCGTTCTATGCCAAGAGAAAGCATTCCTTTTTGTACACTTCTAGAACTACCCAAACGTGTATTAGCCACCCTGAAGTTTTTTGTTGTTTGTTAACCCATGGGTTATGAATGTGAAAACACTGTTTGTGAAGAAACTTACAGTCGACATGCGTTTCTGGATTTCGTGTCCAATGCTGACTGATGTCAGTGGGGAAGAGATGACTATTCATGTATTTTATGCCAGTAAATGATCTCACCTTATTTGTATCCAAGTGTTGCAGAACATGCTTACTTTAAAGGGAGTCTTCCCACTGGCCTAAGTGAAAAGATCGATACCACAACCCAACAGTTGCGTACCTGGGGATTTAAGTTGGCTCTTGGGTCTAATGCTTTTAAGAATGCTAGTATGATATACATATGTGCTTATGTTTTAATTATTGTACAAGAAAGCTTCATGTTCTAGTAAAATTCTGAAGTGGTAGTTTTTTTTAAAAAGGGGATATTTGATAATTAAAAGGACTTAAAGCAAATTTTTCTTTGATATGTTCATAGGGTGATGGGAGAATATCAGTTCAGTATATAACTGAGGAGTGTCTAAAGAAGTTGGATACAAAGCAGCAGACAAACACTCTACTGAATATGGTTTGGAGAGATTCAGCTAGTGAAGAGGTCTTTACCTTGATGGCATCAATCTGCCACACGCTAATGGTACAACACCGAATGATGGTGCCAAAAGTGAGGCAAGTATAATAGCGATGTTGAACTGTAGTACACCTAAAATGTGTTTTATTACATAGACATGTTTTAAATACCCTGTGGGTTTTTATCTGTGGTTTTTTTTCTATGATCAGCTGAAATAAATCAGAATTTCAGAATTTAAATAATAAATCCAGGCAAACTGAAGAGTGGATTAATTCTGTTTCTTATTTTTAATTCCTGTTCCTTGTGCTCTCTCTGGAGTAATTGCTGAAACCAAAAGTGTAAGCTCTTGGTTTGTTTAGCAAGTTGCAAATAAGTTAGTATTCTATCACCACATTGAGGACTATGGAACAGGTAGTGTTTGTGATCAGAAAATTGAATAGGGATTGCAAAGATTCTTGAAAGGAGTTTATCTGTCTGCTTGCTCAGAGGCAGTGTTAAGAGTCATTCTGGCAGAAATTTGTCTGGATTGTTTTTAAAACTTTCAGTTACATGGATTCCACAGTCTCTTTAACTCGCTGAGCACTGAAACCAACTTCTTCTCTATCCTCTTTAATATATAGCCAAAATCTCTCTTGCTACAAATCAGAACATATGAAATGCTCTGTTGTTTGGGAAGGGCTTTGGCACCTGAGATGGAGATAAAAGACTTGTTCATTTGTACAGCATTCTTTTACAAAACCTGCAAACCACAAATGTCAGTAACAATGAAAGATGATTTGCGACATTTTTATCATCAAGCTAAGACCTATAAGCGTTAACACTGTTCTGGTGCAAGTAGTTTTGAATAAGTATGTAGTTTCTGGTAGTAAAGTAAGTATTTAGGGAATGTTGTAAACATAATCAATTCAAACTGCATTGTAAACAGTGATACAGAAAACTAATTAGGTGCTATCTTAGCCCAATGGTGTTTATAGCTGTTAGAGGAAGTGAGATGTCAGTGAAACTGTGATTGCTCGATTAGGGTAATTAGTTCTTTGTAGACTAATTGCATTAGAGCAGGATGTGAGACCTGAAGATCATAGCAGCAGTTGAATTAGTATGCCCGCTTTATTGTTGCAAGTAGTACATTGCCTTGGATAGTAATTACTGAGTTTAAATGCATCACTGCTTTGACTTGAAGTTTTCTGGTGAACTGTGTGGAACAGGGTGTTTAAAGAATAAAGAAGTTACTCGTACAATTAAAGTCCTGTGTATGGCATCTGTTTCCTTTGAGACGCCGTATTTGGTCTTTGCAGTTATTTATGGTAACAGGCTAGTTACAGATCAGGTAAATTCAAGAGTTAGGAAAGTTCTACTCATCATCTTATAATACAAAGCAATTTAGAAATTTTAAATTTTTAATAGCTCCAAAGTAGTTGAATTTACCAATTTTAGAAATAAGTAGTAGAGATACTAAGATTTGTGTCAGTAATACTAATGGAATTACTTTCATAATCAAAATGAAGTTAGTTCATGCAGGTATTTGCAGAATTAAAACGGACATTTAATTACTAGTTCAGACTTCCAAGTCAGTTCTAAGTGTTGGGTTTGCCAGGTATCATCGTGTTAGGAGGTGTCAATCTTTTGCCCTGCTCTCAGTGCATTTTAGCCCTGGCCCAAGTTGCCAAGCAGCTATTCTAAACCTTCTCTTTGGGTGTTTTTCAAAGGACATCTGATGTTGTTTTCAAGGTAGTAAAGATGTGTCACCTCAAAAGACAATTAAAAGATTTTTTCATCATTAATTTCCACTTTTTTTAATTGCCCAAATGATTTTGTCAAATTTAATGTCTTTTGAAAGATGCTTCACTTGCTTTGAAACTAACTTTTAAATTACTTAATACTCACAGTAAAGTGGATCTATTTAGTTAAATCATGTAGAAATAGTTAAACAGAAATAATTTATTTAAAATTATTTTTAATATATTCTAAGAGCTCAAAAATGCTCTTTTATTTTGTGTTTGGAAACATACTGGGTCAAATTGTTTAGAAGGTGGAAAAGGTTGTTAGTAAAACTTATTTAACATCATTTACAACTGTACTAGAAAATAATGATAATTGAAAACATAAAGGCTGCAAATCAAAAATAGAGTTGCAACTGAAAATAACTTCAATAATCTGAAAGAAAATTAGGCAAAGGTTAACACAGGCTTTCGACGGGAGGAAACAACAAATATCTCTGTATTGTTCTAATAGTTCTGAGGCTTTTTTCCTTCTTGAAAAAAGATACAGTGTAGGCTTTAAAGCTGAATGCTTTTTATTCTTGTGGCTCCTCAAGTCATCCTCTTTGATGTGACTGATGATGATATCATATGGTGTTAGGAACATCAGTGTTGCCGCGTTAGGTCAGTAGTTTCTTTGGTTTTGCAACAGAGACCAAGAGAGATCACACAAGATTCACCAAAGTACAATGTAGCTTTGAACAGAAAGAGCAAGCCTCTAAAGTTCTGATTCTCTACAGAGGGTGGTGGGATCCAGAGATGGATTACTGGAAAAGCACATTGCTTTGGATTAGCCGTTAGGAATTTTGATGAATTCTGAGTAAGTTCTGGAAAGATGCAGTCAAGCCCAATTAAAGAAAAAGGCCACAAGACTGGAAAAACCTAGTTGTAGCTAATGTTCAGTAAGTCAGATGAGAGGTGTAGAATAAAATCCTGATTGTAATGAAGTAATTGGGAATTGTGCTTACTTTCAGAGGGGCAGGGCTTTCATCTTTTCACTGTAAAGTTGATGTATGTTCTTAAATGCCATTAATTTATTAAAAAAAAAAAAAAGAAAAGAGAAAACACGAGTCTTGGAGTGTAGTTCTCATTATGAAGAGATTTGCAAGACTTTTGTTCATCAAAGCTATACTTTACGTAACTAGTGAATTCTGTTTCTGCAAAATTTTTAGGGGGGTTATTTAATACCATAGACTTCAGGTCATGGCTATGGCTTAATATTAAACAGTGATGGGAACTGTGCTTGTACTGGGACTTCAGTTGCTATCAGCCATCTGATTAGTGCCCCAGAGTAATTGCTAGTCTTGGTTCATCAGTTTCATAGTGACTGTACACTACTACTGTTTAATTAATACAATGTTGCTCATCTTAACCTGTGGTTGAAAATTGTTTGGAAAACTGACATTCTGGTGTAATACGAGCAGCCTGTCTCCATAGGTGCGCTGAAGATACTTAGGCTTTACATGAGGCTATTTTAGTAATTTAGGAATGTTCTTTCGCTGTGGTGCTTTTCTTAAAACCATGAAGTTTTTACTCTTTTTTTTCTTTACGCTTCGCTTTACGTTCTCGGTCCAATACAAAGAGAGGCAGAAGCATAAAGCAGCCTTAAGAGCAGTATGGTTCATTTAATGATGGCTTTGCATGCTGTCTCGTACCTGTGACACCTTGCAGTTCTGAAGTGTCAGAATCCGCTGCCCCGGCAGCAGTGACCTTTTGCAGACTGTATGCGCTCCTCTCATTCTAGTGTATTCTCTTCATTAACTTAAATGGTCTCAGTGGGAAACAGGGCCCAATTTATGACCTAGACTGAAAATCTTGCCTTTAACTAATTAACTTGTAGTGGTGCCTCAGCTAAATTAAGCTTAATGGGTCATTTAATCTGTCCCATTGCGCAGAAGGAATTTGACACTTTTTTTTAAACCAGAGGTGCCCAAAATCCGCATAAATCATGTGGCCTTTGTGGACAATTAGTTACCTATGGAGAGAAACAAGGTTCTAAATAAATGATCGTTATGTACTTACTTTTGGGAGCAGATAATTTAATTTGGGATGATTAAAATAGATACTTAACAAAAGATGCTGGAGTGAATTTAACTCTGCCTCAGCCACAGGCTATGAGAATGTGCATTTTTCCACTTGAAAGGAGTTTATCCTTTCCGGTAGTAGAGAAATGGTTCTTCTCCCAAACTGCAATGTTAAATCTAAATATTGAACTTTACAAAAAATTGTTAATCATTCTACAAACCCATGTATAATGATCTCAAAATAAAGAAGTTGGTGATATGCAGTGAGATTTTCAAGAAAATGCAGAACCACCAGATGGGAGGGATAAAAATCCAGGGTTTAAACTTTAACAGCTTGGTTTGTTTTTAGAGTAGTAGAAATACTGAAAATGAACCCCCTGAGTTAGATTATAAAAATCAATATAAAAAGAAATAATGTATAATTTTTTTGATTTCTAGTGTTTGTGTGTGGTTGTTTTTTTTGTTTTTTGTTTTTTTTCTCTAAAGGAAAAAGTGATCAAGATTGTATGGACACTCAGGCTCTACATTAACTGATCTCTAAACCTTGTGGATTGATAATGCTTTGTGTTCAGGGTATATAAGCTATCCCTGTAATGTTCTGCAGTTGATCAAGAATTATTATCTTGCGTTGTGTCATTTTAATGTAGTTCTATCTGGAAATGATGTTTTTTTAGCAGATGCACATCTTTTCTTTGCCAAAGAGAAAGACCAAATGAGGTAGATTTTGACCTATTTTAATTATAAAAGTTTTTTTTAATATCTTTTTTTTTGCTTTTTAATTTTTTAATTTAATTTTTTTTTGCTTTTTCATGTTTTTTTTTTCCAATGTGAAGCCAAAATTTTTGAAACCTTTTAGTACAGCAAATTTCTTGAACTTTTCAAGAGCTATGACTTTTCAAGGCCGTTCTTGCATTGTAGTTTTTTTTTTTTTGTGTACAGTTGTTACCTTCTACTTTGAAAGCCAGTTTCTATACTTGGAGTGGGAGAGTAATACGTTGTTTCTGCAGTCATTCCTTTCGCAATGGGTTATATTTCAGGTGAATCTGGTAATGTAAAATTTTTGTAACACAAGGCCTAATTCACATGTCTGTTTAGTTTCCAGTTTCATGTTTATTTTCTGGTAACAGTATGGAAACTTGTGAATTGATGAATTCATCTGCTTCATATTTCATAGGTATTTCATATGGACAAAGTAGGCTGTATGATAACATCTTCTACCAAATTTGCATTTTTGTATTTAACCAGATTTTCAGGGAAGGGAAATGTAAAAGTTGAATACATTCTGCATTTCTGGAATCAGGCCATGAAATATAGCAGTTGCTACCATTGACTGCCTGAATCACGGATATGGAATAAAAATCGCTAAAACTTAGACAAAGGTTATTATTATAAGCTCTTAAGATTTGTCCTTTTTTTCCCTTCATTATTGCTGAATATTGCTAGAATGAAAAAATGAATTACATTGTGATAGGTTCAGTGTCCATAATATTTGTTCATTTCTGCTAAAACTATTACATAATTTCCAGGGATGATTGTAAAATTAATAAGTTTTCGCTTGGAAGCCCTATGAGACCTACCGGCACTGTGCCAAATTACTTTTCATTTCAAATACGAGGCTGAAAACTGAAGGTCACTGAGGAAATTTCTCATTTCAGAAACCGAGACATCTGAGCTATTATTCAGATATTTAAACATTAAAATACAAACTCTTGTTCTAAATTAGCTAGATATAATAAGCCCTTCCTTACATAATAATGCATATTTTTCACCCAAATATCAAAATAATGTGACTTTAGAAGGAAGTAAAATTCCCATGTATCAAATTCGGGGTTTTTTTTCCTGAAATTCCACCTGTTTAAAGTAGAACTTAATTTTACAATAAAACTTATCTTAAAGTAGCATTAGCTGCAGTTGCTTCAAATTTGACTCAAACTTCATAATAATCACTAATGTGCAACTTCTCTGGCATATGTAAAGCTTCCAACTCTTTTTGAAGGTATTGATCTATGTATTTAAAATTCAAAGGTTTTGGAACAAGAGGGGCGATACTTCAGCAAAGACACATCGCAAACCAGAGTTTGCTTTTATGTCATTTTCCCTTCTTCTGCATGCCCCCGTTCTATTTCCAAAACTCCAAAATTCCCATGAAACTCTTATCTTTCCTATTTGGTGAAGAATTTTGCCTTTCCCAATGCTACTTTATCCTCGCACAGCTCCTTATCTGTGCGACTGGCTTTTAGTGAATACGCGTCAATTGAGAGCTTGAAGAAGGGACTGACTTCGTGGATGCTTAAGAGTAGCTGTACTTCAGCGAAGACAGCAAAAAGAGCCCCCAGGGCTCCAGCAGCCAGTAAGCGAGGACCCAGAGGCATATGGCACTATGCAGTATTTGTTTGTGAGTGGGCATGTAGGTTTTCTTCTGGTTTTTTTGGTTTTTTTTTTTTTTTTTGGTTTAATGTCTTTAAATGAATTGCCACTTAAACCGTTCTCAAATGTTTTTAAGTGTTTACTGGTATTTTACTTTTTTCCTTAATGAAATGTGTGCTTCCTCTCTTTTGCCATCTGGCAAATTTTAATTTATCCATGTGGTTCATAATAAATACTGTGTTTTCAGGCAGCAGCTAGTCTGCCCTCCCTGCTCCCATTTCCCAGCCTCCTACTTGTATGCGTGGTCACAGGGAATTTTGATATTGTGAAGCTATGGACCTCTGAGAGAAGATGTAGACCTGAGTTTGTGTTTTACCTTATTTATTCCAGTAGTAATTAGGAGACCTAGGAAAATAGCATTTAGGATAACTAACTGAATATAGTTCTTCAGTATCTGAAAAATGACAGTTTAGTCAGTCAAATCCTGTTTTGTTTCCTAGAAGACATTAGTTGTTTCAAATTATGTTTGTCACATATGTTGCTTCCTGTAGGAGGAAAAAATGGGCTGAGGGACACGTTTTAATTCAAAGAAGCTTTTTATTTCGTATTTCTATAAAAAGCTGTAATCATATCTGAAATAATAGGGCTAAAGTCGGTCGTGTATATAACTGACTTGTGAACATACACATTTATTTTTACAAATGTGTAAACTGTTCTCTATCTACAAATGAATTAATGTATGTGTATGGGTGGCTGTGCTGACAGACATTGTTCCATTGATGTTGTTATATTTGTATCTGCCATGCAGAATATACCAATAAAATTGCTATGTAATTGTAAATCGCTAGTTGCTTCTAGCATAAACTAAGGTATTTTAATCTACTTTTCACAAATACTGCTATGGTTGTTAATATCAGAAGAACCACAGAAGTGACCTGTTAACTAGTTGGTGTGGTTATCCATATTAGAATTCTTAAAAATCCCAGAAAAATAACTTGGAGTATATGTTATTTTTATTTAATGTGTGTTTAATTCTGTGGAATACTTGGGTCTATATCATGTGGTTTGTTGCTGAGGTAATGAAAACTGTATTTTAGGTATAAGGATTTATATGCTTGTTTTTCAGCTTTAAGACTTTCACCACATTTGATTAGAATAAGAACCTCCAGCTTGAAAAAATAAATTTGAATTGTTACTGTTTAAGAAATGCTTGGCAGAAGTGTTCTTATAGAAACATTGTGTTTTGTGAATACAGTATTTTGGAAAACATAATTTATTTTAACTTCCTCTTGCAGGCTTCTTTATAGTTTAGCCTTTAATGCCAGATTCCTGAGGCATCTTTGGCATTTGATATCTTCCATGACTACACGAATGATTACAGGGTATGTATTATACCATCTCTGAAACTGACTCTTTGTTAAAATAGAGTATAGCTAGTGACAAGAGAATGAGACAATTGGTGGTGTGACAGTGCTTGTGGAAGGTGATTGAAAACAAAACTGTAATGGTTACTTAGCTCCTATGATTTCATAAAACTGAGCAAAATCTCGGGAATTGGACAGTTGTAAATAATTACAGGTAAATAAATAAAATCTTTATTTAAAATAAGATAAAAATTTAAAATAAGGATGCTTTGTAGTTTTTGGAGCATAAATATAACAAACACTGAAGCTCCAAATACTTCATCCCAAGTATGTGAGTTTTATCTCGTATACCTTGACTAGTCTGGAAATTGATGGTAGCAGAAGCATGTTCCCAGGAACTTGGGCTTTGGACCTGCAGATTTGTTCTGTGCTGACATACAGGTAAGTTACTCTGTCGTTGAGAAAGCTCAAGAGAGCTGGCTGCTATTTAAGCATCTCTTCCTCCAAGCTCAGGATTGGTGCATCCTGAAGAGCAAGAAATCAGGCAAGGGAAGGACACCTGCATGGCTGAGCAGGGACCTTCTGAAAAAGCTCAGGTGGAAGAAGGGAGTTTACAGTAGGTGGAAGAAGCGGCTGACTGCTTGGGAGAAGTACAAGAATGCTGTCAGGGTATGCAGGGATGAAACAAGGAGAGCCAAGGCAGCCTTAGAATTGAACCTGGTGAGGGATGTAAAGGACAATAGGAAGGATTTCTTTAAGTATATAGGAGACAAAAGGAAAACTAGGGAAGATGTGGGGCTGCTGTTGAACGAGACAGGTGCTGTGGTGACAGATGATGCAGAGAAGGCAGAGTTGCTGAACTGTTCAGGCCAGCCCTCCAGAGTCCCAGACTTTGCAGGTAACAGAGAAAGTCTGGAGGAAGCAAGACTTTCCCTTGGTTGATGAGGAGCAAATTAGAGATCTGTTAGGTAAACTGGATATCCACCACAAGTCCATGGAGCCTGATAGGATGCACCCACGAGTGCTGAGGGAGCTAGGGGAGGTCATTGCTGAGCTGCCCTCCATCATCTGTGAAAGGTCCTGGAGAACAGGTGAGGTGCCTGAGGACTGGACTTGAATGTTTTCAAAAGGGGCAAGAAGGGTGACCCAGGAAGCTACAGGCTGGTCAGCCTCACCTCCATCCCTGGAAAGATGATGGAACAGCTTGTTCTGGGTGTCGTCTCAAAGCATCTGGAAGAAAAGAAGGTTATCAGAAGTAGTCAGCATGGATTCACCAAGGGGAAGTCATGTCTGACTAATCTGATAGCCTTCTATGGTGGTGTGACTGAATGGGTGGATGAGGGGAGGGCAGTGGATATTGTCTACCTTGGCTTCAGCAGGGCTTTTGACACCATTTCCCACATCATCCTCACAGGCAAGCTTAGGAAACGTGGGTTAGATGAGTGGACAGTGAGGTGGATTGAACAGTGGCTGGCAGATAGAGCTCAGAGGGTTGTCATTAGTGGTGCAGAGTCTAGTTGGAGGTCAGTAACGAGTGGTGTCCCTCAGGGGTCAGTACTGGATCCAGTCCTGTGCAATATATTCATCAATGATCTGGATGAAGAGATAGAGTGTACCCTCAGCAAGTTTGCTGATGACACAAAACTGGGAGGAGTGGCTGACATGCTGGAGGGCTGTGCTGCCTTACAGCGTGAGCTGGACAGGCTGGAGAGTTGGGCAAAGAGAAACCTTATGAAATTCAACAAGGGCAAGTGTAGGGTACTGCACCTGGGGAGGAATAACCCCACGCATCAGTACAGGTTGGGGGCTGACCTGCCGGAGGGCAGCTCTGTGGAAAGGGACCTGGGAGTCCTGGTGGACAACAGGATGACCATGAGCCAGCAATGTGCCCTGGTGGCCAAGAAGGCAAATGGCATCCTGGGTTACATCAAGAAAAGCATGGCCAGCAGGTTGAAGGAGGTCATCCTTCCCCTCTACTCTGCCCTGGTGAGGCCACATCTGGAGTATTGTGTCCAGTGCTGGGCTCCCCAGTTCAAGAAGGACAGGGAACTGCTGGAGAGGGTCCAGCAAAGAGCTACGAAGATGATTAGGGAATTCGAACATCTCTCTTATGAGGAAAGACTGAGAGACTTGGGTCTTTTTAGTCTAGAGAAAAGAAGACTGAGGGGGGATCTTATTAATGCTTATAAATCTTTAAAAGGACGGTGCCAGGGGGATGGGGAACAGTCTTTTTTGACTGGTGCCCAGTGATAGGACAAGAGGTGATGGGCACAAACTTGAATATAGGAAGTTCCATCTTAACATGAGGAGGAATTTCTTTCTTTTGAGGGTGGCAGAGCACTGCCCAGAGAGGCTGTGGAGTCTCCCACTCTGGGGACATTCAAAACCTGCCTGGATGCCGTCCTGTGCAACCTGCTGTAGGTGACCCTGCTCTGGCAGAGGGGTTGGGCTAGATGATCTCCAGAGGTCCCTTCCAACCCTGACCATTCTGTGATTCTGTAACAGAGAAACACAGCAAAGAGTCTGCAGCCTGCAGTTAATGGCAAGGTTTATCATCAAGACACAGAGATACTATAGTGACAAGAACTTACAAAGAGTAACTTTATTTTGCGAGAATGGGAAACAGTAGTTATTCAACTGTCTGCCATCCTTATTTTGCTGTAGGAACTACTACTAAATATTTTTACTAGAATGCTGAATTTAATACTTTTTAGGGTATTTAATTAACTATCTCTTCAATTTTGTGTTTTATATTTTAAGGTCAATGGTGCCACTCCTTCAGGTGATTTCAAGAGGCTCTCCAATGTCTTTAGAAGACTCTAGTCGAATCATCCCTCTCTTCTACCTTTTTAGTTCTTTGTTTAGTCATTCACTTATTTCTATTCACGATAATGAATTCTTTGGTGATCCAATAGAAGGTGAGTTTCAAGCATAATAAATAGTGGTGGTTTTTTGTAGGGCTGCAGAGTTCCCTGGGCAATGATTTGCTGACATCTGTGGAGAAGGGTGTTCTGGGCTGACTTGTTAGTCCCCTGAGCACTCAGCTGTCAGCTGGCTCTTTCATGGTGATTACATTTAGAAAAAAAGAAGGAGGAAAAAATAAAATAAAGGGATGGTCTGCACCTTGGGAACTCTAGCTTTAGAGGGTCTCGTATAGAAGTTCTTAATCATGATAATTTTTAATGAGTTAGTGAAAAGACTGAAGTTCTTTTGGACTAAACCTGTAGTCTAATGTAAAAATTTAAGATAGCAGGAATCAAAAAAGAAAATAAGAGAATGTTGTAATTAAAATTATCAGGACTGCAAACAATTACAAGACCTGATTGCCTTTATAAATACATGCTCCTGCTCTTTTTGGGTGATCTTTCTTTTCTCTACTTTTAGATTTTATCTATGAATATTCAAGTTCCAATGAAATTAAGTGCTTTTTAAATAACAAAATGATTAATAAAGTTGTTTGAAGAAACATAAACTTGTATTTTATGTAGTTGTAGGTCAAAGACAATCATCAATGATGCCTTTTACACTAGAAGAGCTTGTAATATTATCACGCTGCCTTCGAGATGCATGTTTAGGAATCATAAAGTTGGCTTACCCAGAAACAAAACCAGAGGTTCGTGAGGAATATATTGCAGCATTTAGAAGTGTTGGAGTAACAAAAAATACAGAAATGCAGCAATGTATACAGACAGAACAAAAAAAGTGGATTCAATTATTCAAGGTAAATTGTGTCAATTTTCAGAACATATTTAAATAAAATTTTCAAGCTTCTGCTGGCTGTGTGAGAGTAGGTAATTTTTTCCCCTAATTCTGCTTTTAACACAGTTGTTACAAGGAATATGGATTTGGGAAGGCTGCTTTTTGGCATGTGTGCTAAACTTTGAGTAATTAAATTCTTATAACTAACTTTTTTTTGCTTCTAGCAAAATTATTAATTATTCTTAATTTAATTTTCCTGCTTCTTTATAAAATAGTTACTGTAATGAATTTAGGTTTTAACTTGGACGCCCATTCAGCAAGGTGCTTAAGCATGTCATTACAACTTTATATAGGTGTGAAATTCTAACTAAATCATATAATTACTCAAATATTTATGTTTTGGAGGATTCACTAAATTGGGACCATGCCGCATTGGTTTTGTTTGTGTTCTACTAAAATACATTGGTATTACTTCCTTTGGATTGGCTGGAATACTAATGGAGTAGTGGGTCAGCAAATGTAAACTAAATGTATGTTATTTCTGGGTATCTGTGGATGTGTTTCTGCTGGTTTTATCCATGGCATCTAAGACATGAGTTAAGAGGAGCTGAAAACGTTGGCAGGCAAAATCTTAATATAACTGTTGCCGAAAAAAAGGAGTGCTTGACTTGTCGTGAAAATTCTGCAGCAAACACATCTAGTCAGCTAAAATTGCTCATTAAAGAAGTGGGAGCAGAAGAAATGCATTTTCCAAATTGAATGCTAGATTTACAGTCTGTTTAATACTGGTGACCTCTCGCGCACTAATGTTCAGTTCGAGTCATCAGCTGTCCCTTCAGGTCTTTTATCACTGCTTTTGTCAAGCTATCTATTTAATTGAAAGAAGTTAATTGAATGAAAATGATCAACTAAGCTTGTATTAATATTGCTAATGGAACTTTCTTCTTGGCCATGTTTGGAGAAAGATGTCATGCTAGACTTTAGGAAAGGCCCATTAAGGCTTGCACTTAACCTGATGGGCTAATTAAGGAATGCTTATTCATTCTACAAGTCTAAGATAGCCTCTATCCAGCCTATTCTGCCTGATTTTACAACACATTTCACTTATGAGCGTAAGCATTAATAGCAGTGAGAGTAACTGATAATGTTTTGATTGCATTGAATACAGTCCTAATGCACCACTGAATTTGTAATTTGCACAGATTGATCTAATATATGTTTGCACAATTTAATTTAATTACTTGTCTTTAAATTGCCAAATAACTTTCAATTTAAAGGTCACAAGTGAAAACCCCAATATGCCTATTTTTCTAAGAAGGAAGGCATACTAGGGGTATTTTTTGTATGCCGTTTATATCATGCCATCTTCTATTTCTTCTCTTCAGCTTGTTATATTTAATCAATCTTTTTATAAACTTCTTATGTTTCGGGTGAATTTGATAATATTTTGCTGTCATTCAGAAAGTTGTAAAGTCCCAAGTTACTCTTGCCCCACTTTGGCAGTTAGGAACTCGTAGTGGAACTGTCTAAACTCGGCGGTCTCTTACGATTTTCAGGAGCCAGAGTTGTCTTCCATTAGCTGAATTACAAATGTAAATCTTAAGGGTGTTTTGAAGGCTCTGGTTCTACCCAAAAAGTAGCTAATAACAAAGCATCCTGTATTCACTCCTTCAGAAAGCTGTTGTTACAGATAAAAATTCAACACAGCTAAAGTTCATTTAATGAAGACGACTACTGTACACAGCACTGAGTCTTTCCTGAGAGCAGCTTCAAAATAACCTCTTGCCAGTAAGCAGGCAGCAATATGTTCTTCCAGATCATGAAAACAAAGCTAAAGTAGTTCATCGTAATTCTAAGGTGTTGAAGTAGAAAATACTTTTTTTTTTTCTTTTACACTATGTCAAGTATATGAGAGATTTATCTTTTCTGAAGCTTTTGCAAGCTGCCTGCAGAGAAAAAGACACACTCCTTCCCTATCATCTATGCTTTTAATTTATCTTTTTTCTTTTTTTCCTCTTCTCACACTTATTTTGTGTATTTTCCATGCCACTGTTGTCTAATGAAACACATTCCTGTATATACATGCAAATACAGTCTTTACTTATGCAAGGTAATGGTAAATCTAAAGAAAGTGAGACTGCTAACAATGACGTGCTTATTTGCTAGCAGCAGGTTGGAGATCTTTGAAATGGTAAGATTTACGTCTGAAAATGTTATTCAGTGGAATCCCCCTTTTTTGGCTTGGTATAATATTGAATAGTATAGTCAACTGTTACAGATTCCATAGAAGGACTTAAGTTATGAATACAAGAAAATGGGTTTTGTGAAATAATAAAATTATTTGACTGTTAATCCTATGAAATTAAGTTGCTAATTCTGCTGAATTTTAGTTTTTAATCTTAGTTACACTTGGTGCTTTATTGGGGAAAAAAATCTCTTTTAATATTATTTATTGAAGTGGGTCTTTCCTTTCAATAAAATATATACTTATAGAAAAATTTATGAAGGGGTCCTGAGTTTAGAATGCTAATGTTCTCAGTACCCGTTTGTTGTGTAGAAGGAACTCCAATCTCACCTAATTTGATTCAGCATCCTTTAAGGATTCTTTAACTGCTTGTAAAATATTTCATTACCATTATCTTCACGTTGATATTTTTTCTGATTCCACACACCCCCCCCCTTTTTTTTTTTCTTACCTTTCTTTTAAGTATAGTGGTAATGGGACCACAGAGCTTCAGTGACTCATCTAACCTGCACTGAATTTTATAAGGGCAAGGTGATGAAAATTCCTGTGTAATCAGACAGTTCCCTTAATAGCATTCTTCTTTGTTCTGTCTTTATTCAAGATGTTACTTTACAAACTGGATCTTAAAAGGTCTTTTGTATAGTATCTAGACACAGAATCCTTTAGAAGGTCCATTAAACTCTTTGTTACTTTTGACACCTGCCCATTAAGGCTGTCTTTTAGCAAGATTACTTCAGAAAAGCTTTGTGTGTTTTTTTCCTATTCATTTTTGAAGTGCTGTAGTTCTGCCTTGCAAAACAGATGGCTGTTCATTGTAGCAGTGATAACGTCTTTTAGGCTAGTAATTTAATATTCTGGTGATCCCACTTAATTATGTTTTATGTAGTGTTGGGCTAAGTTGATTCTGCTTTGGGGAGAAGGCATGTAACCAAGTATGACAATTGAGTTTGAGATGGAGTAGTTGTTAGCTTGATATCTCTACATTATTTTTTTTCTGGATTGGAGGAAACTGCTAAGAAAAATCTTAAAATTGCAAAAACACCCTGGTGACCATGATAACCATTTTTCTCAGCCTCCCAATTTTGTTATGAAGATGTGCACAAACTAGTTAGTCTATTCAGATTTCTCTTTTTCTGACTGTGTGGTTATAATAAAGACAGAATTACCTTTCATCATTTGAGTCCCTTGTGAATAAAAATGAATTAAACATAGTTGTTCCAGCTGATGTGCTTGTGGTTGGGTGAAGTATGGATGTACACATCATCACCCACTATCATTCAGCCAATAAGCAAAAATTTGTGAAACCACTGTTAACTAGGTGGTTTTCAGGTAAATGCTTATACCTTCTGTTGGAAGAGGGCTTACTGACATAACACACTAAAGGGCTTTTACCTAACAAGTTTTAGTTTGTAAATGTTACTGTAGTAGGTATATATGTGTATATTAAATGAAAATTACAACCAGCCACCCCACATACATATTTTTAGGAGTATAGGTGCTTTTTGTGCTTCTTATAGTGCTCACAAGAAGAATATTTGGTAACAGTCCTTTTTCTGGAATTGGTCATTTTTGTAATCTGCTTTCAGGCATGTTTGAGCTAGGCCCTTCTTGGGAGTGGTTTTACTTTCAGAATCTGGTATGTTGGATCCTTTAACAGTCTTAGAGTAGGCTTTACTGTACAATATAAACAACTGAGCTAGTCACACTAGGATTTAATAGAAGAACTTTGAAAAATTGGTAGCTACTTCTGGATGAGATGATCTTTTTTTTCTCTGCCAGCTTTGAAAATGTTAACAGGATACTCATTGACAAGAAAAGGAGCCTGTAGTGTCTCTTCAGATGTAGACCTTTACCCTGAAAAATACTGCCATTAGTGTTTTCACATATGGATAATCACCTCAGTGTCTGGTGAGGTGATATCATCAGCAGATACTTATGATTTTTCAGCACCTTTAGCTGGAAATGCTTTAGTTTGTTAATGCAGCAACCAGAAGTAGCCTATCTTTCATGTACTCCAGAGATGCAACTTTAGCTGTTCGGTTTTGCTGCCAATTTAACGCTTCTGCCCTCTCCTCTACTCTCTGAAGTTGATGTTGGCTTTTGTACAGTTTGGCCATTGAGAAGCACATCACTCGATCTTGTGCTGGCTAGTTAAGTTTATTGACTGTGGGCAGAAATACCCACTGTTTATTAGTTGGTCTCAGATTTGCCTTGTGTGGAATGATAACACGTGACCTTTGTCATGAGATGACAAGCAAAAGTTCCATTCTTCTGTGGAGCATTTTCCTTGAAAAAAGATGCACAGAAATTTAAGAATCTTCCTCCTTGTGGACAAAGAAAACCTGCAATTCAGCTGAATTGTTCGGAATCTCAGTTTTGTAACTGAGCACTGTGTAGTGCTGTCTTCTAAAACAGACATCTGTTCACATGTTTAATGGTTCTGAAAACCGATATAAGCAAAACAGGAAAAAAAAATCTGTATAGAAGACAATTGTATAAAGGATCTGGTTAGGTCTTGCTTTCTTTAAATAAGTAATTTAATGCTGGTAATTATTTGTTTAGGCTTCCCTGAACTGACATACAACTTACTCCTAGGTAGTCCTAGTTTTTAGCTTTTGGAATGAGACTTTAATAAGCCAGGCTTTTTTGATGACTTATAAGTGAACCACAATTACTTACTTGCATTCTAAGATATTTAAATGTAAGAGCAAGTTTTTGTAAGTTAAAAATAAGTAACAATTTCATACATGACTGAAAGATTTTCTTAAGTTTTTGCTTGTGGATTATACAATTCATTTACAGTGCTAAATCTATATTGAATGTGTGTGTTTCTGTCACCTAGGTCATCACAAACTTAGTGAAAATGTTGAAATCTAGAGATACAAGGAGAAATTTCTGCCCACCAAATCACTGGCTCTCCGAACAAGAAAACATTAAAGCAGATAAGGTAAGAGTAATACCTATTTTCCACATAGCCTTACAGGTGCCACAGTTTCAATGGTAATGTGTTTGATTCCTGACTGTATTAATGACGTTGACGTTGCACACATCTAGCATGGCTTAAAACCTGGAGTAATGCTGCTTTTCTCTAATGTGAAAGTCTTGCGTCTCTTAAGAAACTTCTGTGTTAAATCACATTTCCAATCCATAAAGTACAACCCACTTTACAATGTGATACTATAAGTCATCTGCATTTATAGCAGAGGAGAATTGAAAATCTGGTAGCATTTTGTTGCATTTTATTTTCTAGTTATTTTAAATACTTCTCATAATAATAAATGCTAAATAAAATAATTGCTCTATAGTGGGGAAAAAACCCTCAAGATTCTCTTCCAAAATAAAAGAAAATTAAGTAGCGTTTTCTGTACTTATCTAGAAATTACTTTTTTTTTTCCTGAGAGGTCCTGAAAAAAATATTATTTGAGCTTAAAAAGTGTGTATATGCATGCAAAAGGAAACACTAACATGCATGTGCAAGTACGTTCTTTGAATCATTGAAAACTTGGATCTTAAGAAGCTACCTACACCTCAGATAGACTACCATGCGCTATTGGATGTCTTAACAGATGGAAATTTTGCACAGAATAGTTAACAGTGAACTATTCTGTTTATTTTTGATGATTGCACATTTGCTTGTCTTGTGTTCAAGATTTCCGTTTCTCTGTGTGACAGTTCTTTATAGTTATTAGGAAATAGTGCTTATGCACCTTAGAGGCAGTAGTAGCAGTCTTAAATTGTGCTTACCTGATTGTCAATACAAAGTAAACAAAATTTGTTTGACAGCTCAGAATTCAAACTCAGCTTCTCTAGTATCTAAGGGTTCTAGGGGTTCTAATTGACAAGCGGCTGAATATGAGCTGGCAGTGTGCCCAGGTGGCCAAGAAAGCCAACAGCATCCTGGCTTGTATTAGAAATAGCGTGGCCAGCAGAAGCAGGGAGGTGATAGCGCCCCTGTACTCACCACTGGTGGAGGCCACACCTCGAGTATTGTGTCCAGTTTTGGGCACCTCAGTACAAGAGAGATATCGAGGTGCTGGAGCGAGTGCAGAGGAGGGCAATGAAGCTGGTGAAGGGCCTAGCAAACAAATCATATGAAGAGCAGTTGAAGGAGCTGGGACTGTTTAGTTTGAGGAGGAGGAGGCTGAAGGGAGACCTCATCACTCTCTACAACTATTTGAAATGACACTGTAGAGAGGTTGGTGCTGGTCTCTTCTCACAGGTAATTAATGACAGAATGAGAGGGAATGGCTTCAAGCTCCAACAGGGTAAATTTAGACTGAACATTAGGAAAGAATTTTTCACAGAAAGAGTGGTCGGGCATTAGAATAGGCTGCCCAGGGAGGTGGTTGAGTCACCATCCCTGGATGTGTTTAAGAGCCGTATAGATGTGGTGTTGGGGGATATGGTGTAGGGGAGAACTATGTAGAGTAGGGTAGATGGTTGGACTTGATGATGCCGAGGGTCTCTTCCAACCTAGACAATTCTATGATTCTATGATTAAATACAATGTTACATTAAATTCTGGTGTGGTATTTTTGAATGATAGATGGACTTTATATTACATGGTTACTAATTTTGCAGCTCAGTTTTAAGGCATAAGGAGGGGTGATGAGAAATGAAGATACTTCGGCATTCAGACACACTCTTGGACGTGACAGTTTTATGTTTACTATGTAATAGCAAATTGTGATATGTAATTAGATGATGTTTAACTGTAAAATACTGTTATTTTATTAGGTTACGCAGCTTTATGTACCATCTGCTAGACATGTCTGGAGAGTCAGAAGAATGGGAAGAATAGGACCATTGCAGTCTACTTTAGATGGTAAGATACTGTCTAGGAAATTTTTGCTTTACTTAGTCAAAATAACAGTTTGCCTTATGCAAAGAAAATCTACCTTTTATAGAGCTCAGTTGAGTCTTTTCTAGAAAAATCTTAATGATAGCCAAAAGCAAGGTGCTCTTCCATAATTTTGTTTCAGATATTTTAAAAGATGTGTTTGTATACATGTTTGTGTATGTCTTTAGAATATTTAATGTATAACAGCTTTCCCCAGGCCTCTGCTGGCATTGATGAGGGGAAATAATGAGGTGGACAAGTGATACGTTTTAAAAATATATGTATTAATATGTATAAAAGGCAGTTGCGTAAGATACAAAATTAATAAAGTTGCAGAAGATGCAGTGAGGTTTTGCTTTTACTGTATACTATAAAGAAACTTCTTTACTATATATTAAACTAACAAACAAGCTTTAGGTACCACAATAAGTATTGATTACTGTTTATAAATATTGTCTGTAATTAGATAAGGCAGAATCTTAACCCCTTGAATTACTCAAAATATCTGGACTTTATGGAACTTCCAAAGAGAATTGGACCAACTTAGCAATCAGGGTAAATTTACACTAGTTTAGTTGTGTTTTATATATATATATACACACTTTCTCATGCAGACAGTCTGTTTCTTTCAGCTTTTCATACCTTTGTATCTCCACTATTCTAGAATTTTACCTTGCTATGCTTAGGTAAAGTAATAATTAAATCACTAATACTTGTGAAGATTTAATAGTGAATTAAACTGGGGCCTTTAAGCAGCAAAATGATTCATCTACGAGAATCCATACTCTTTCAAGATGATGTAATCTGCTTGAATATCTTAGCCAGATACAGTAGATCATTTAGAGAAGACTATAGCCTTTGAATGCTGCCATAGAGTTGTATAGAGTTAAGGGCTTTGTCCAAGGTTGAAAATTAAGGACTTTTTATAAAGATATTTTTTATTTGAATAGCTATGATGGTATAAGTTTACACTGATTACCTTATTAGTCTAGTTACCAGGTAACAATTAGTTGGTCCAGTGTAAGGACTCCTCAGAACTCTGAATGAAATATTTTTTCAGTTTAGTTTTTCTCTTTGGAAGTCCCCTATTCTAAGTGATTGATAATATGAAATCTTAAAAGCAGGTGTTTCAGCAAAAATTGCCAGGCTTCAACAGGCCTGTACGCGGTATGCCTTATGGACTCTACATCAGTAATTCCTGATTCTTCTCTTGACCTTCATGGCTCTTGACAGCTATACTGTCTTGATGCTCTCCGCTGTCAGACCTGTTCCACGTTTATCTCCCCCATGCTACTAGTCTGCTAGTCTCCTTCCCCTCATACATATAGTACCTTGAGCTCTCTCCCTTGTCTTCCTTCCCATAATAGCACCAGTTCTGTCTGTTCCATTAGATGCCTTGGTCTGGGCAGTCAGTAGATAAGGAGCTCCTGGTGCTCCTGGTGTAGAGCAGCTACGTGCCCTCGTTTTGCTGGCTGGCTGTCAGACAAGCTGACACACTGAACAGAGCAGATAACTGAGCTCTCCTTGCTGTTTCTGTAGTCATGTCACTAAAGGAATTTTTCTTCTCTGTCCAGTTGAAAATTTTCACAAAACTTAGTATTTTTGAATCTCCTATTCTGTGTCACAGTTGAAAATCAGCTGGTTAGCTCAAAAGGTGTGTTGGAGGTGAGATGGTGAGGAAAGATGACACAGTGTATTCATGTAACCTCGTTTTCATATGAAATCGGGATAAAAAAAGTGCAGTCAACATGAATGTGTGAAAACAAGCAGGTAACAATGTGCACCTGACTTGTTTAATCCCTCTTGACTCCATATGGGTTAAAGCCAATTAGCATGAAAGTACTGCTGAATCACATATGGTCATGTTTATTTGTGCTTTTTCATTTACTTAAATGGCAGACTCGTGAGTTCTAAATGCCCTCTGTATTGATGACTCCATCCCATATTTCTCTTTAAAGAAAGAAGCTGTGATGGAGAAATGCAAATAAAATTGACTAATTGACTGGAATAATTGAACTGTCGAAGTCATGTAGTAGTTTACCTTTGCTGTACATGCACTTTTTATTTAAAATGCTTTTAACCCTTAGCTTAATAGGCTGCATACATTGACTTTAATTAAAAATGTTTACTAAGTAAACTAAGGGTAATCACAGATAAGCATTTTATCAGGAATTCCAAAGGCTTGCAATGTTGAAACCTACCACAAATGAACATACATCAAGTATAGTGATGTTTTGGGTCATGTCATGTTAAATTAGTGCTTAAAATATCCCTACTTAAAGTGCTTTGAGGGAAAGTGGGGGGAAAAAAAAAAAAAGAACATTGAAGTGATGTCCTGTTGCAGAAGGGCAGCAAGATGCTAGTCACCTCAGGTAGGAGCCAAAGGAAAAACTTGAAACTATCATCATAAACTTCCAGATTGGGTAATGTCAAGCATTTACTTCAGTTTTGTAATATGGTTGATAAATAGTCTGGATAAAGTCTCTGGAGTCTTTTTTCAAGGAGGTGGTTATTAAACACGAAAATGAAACAACTAAGGAGCTGTGGGTTTTGTTTCCTCGGTTGACTGAAGCTAGGTGGACCTTTAACTTCACTGTCTAGTCAGTAAGCAATACCTTTTTTTTTTTTTTTTTTTTTTTGCTGCAGTTAATTAACTTACAGTCAGATATGTTCTCAGCAACTGGGTTTCTTCCCATGAAGTTAGAGCAGGATTGTCACTCACATCACCCAAAGTTGAGTTGTTTCCTAGAAACATCCTCTGTGGGTATAAGAAGGTTCCAAGGAGCTGCATGGTAGCTTGGGAACTGCATGCGATTGAGTCTCTGTTGCTGTGGCTTCTTCAATTATTTTCTAATATTTTTTTCTTAAACACATTATACAATTTCTTGATGTTCTTTTCACCAGTTCTGCAGTGACTAGGATTTAATGTGATCGCTGTGACCTTGCTGTTGGGAGAGAAAACCCATTGAAATAAATGCTATATTTCTGTTGGTTTCGTGAGATTTGCTTTAATGCTTAGTTTTTATGCCTAAAATGATTTCATTGGAAGTAGATGTTGTAGCTGAAGGCACAGTACCTTTAAACTATTTCGATCATTGGGGTGGGAATACTGTGTATTCCTGCAGTGAAAATTATTAACATTCTAATTACTTACAACTTCTTAATTGTTTTCTATGATGATTTTTTTCTTAATTGAAAAATTAAAATGTCATTAATTTTTTCTTTTGAATAAAATTAAAAATGCAGGAGTACTTATTTTTATACACATTTTGTTTTCAGTGTGTTCTCACTACTTATATTTCAGTTTGCCTGTAGAAACTAATGTGTAAAGAAAGGTAAGGCTTTGTGTGACTGTTAAGTAAATAAACTATTTTCATGTATGTATGTTTATACAAAGTAAATTGAGTCACTTGATACTAAATAAACTGTTTAAAAAATGTTCTTTCCAAAATTTTTAAAATTATTATTTCTATTTTAAGTGGGTTTGGAACCAGCACCTCTTTCTGTATCTGAAGAACGACAACTTGCAATTCTGACAGAGCTACCGTTTGTAGTTCCTTTTGAAGAAAGAGTAAAGGTACCTAATTTCTCCTCTAATATGCAATTGTTTTTTTAGTTTTTTGTCTTCAATAAGTGTAAAAAGAGTGCTTAGATAAATAGAAACTGGATTGATTCCCTACAGAAGGATATGACAGGCCATACTGTTTTTCTTCATTACTCATGTGGCAACTGAACATTTGGAGTTAATTAATTTCTCGTCTTTTACTAGTTATGTTACCATTTTTAATAATTGCATTAAAATTAGAAATATGTATTCCAAGACACATGAGAGCAGTTGCATGTTTATGATAAACTGCAGTCCTGATTCAATGATTGATCTACGTGATTGCACCCTCTTGTGGTAAGCAGAGCACTAACTAGTTGTGTATCTGTAATAAACAGATTGCAGGGTCAAGACTGGAGACTTTTGTGCAGTGGGTGGATTTGCTCAGAATGAGATGATGGATGTCCATTTTGGGAAAATAACGCCTAGAGATTAAATATCTGCCTTCATAGCTGAGTAGCTGAACTTTAATAGAGTATGTAGCTTAAAACTTGCAAGAGTCTTGTATTACTGGGTTTGCTTTTGAATGTTTTCTAGACTTCAAATATGTCATTGTTAGTACTATTACCTATTTCAGTTTGTATTATATTTTTTTTAAGCTATTACTCTGTTACACACACTTTTTTTTTTTTTTCTGAACTGCTTTTGTTGTCAACAGTATCAATTACTTAAAAACTGCTCCCTGAATTGTCATGGAAACATTAAGTTGCAAGACACCATCAAGGGAATGAAGGATAGTTCCATAGGGAAAGTAAATCAGTATTTGTCAAAAAAGACAGTGACAGCTTTAGTAGAAAAGGGGTGTTTTTTCCAGGCTTCTATGAAACGTGTTCCAACAAAACATCTAAGTACTGCATGGCAATACTGCAGTAGGATTACAGGGAAACAATTGTAAGTAACCTCAAGCAGGGATCTCTGTGTCATGATTTAGTCACTGTTTACGACCTCTGGACTTCTTAAAGCTATGTTGAGATGCATATATGTTAAGTTTCTGGAATTCATAAAACCTTGTTTAGTTTTTATCACAAAAACTGAAATAACAGTTGGATGAGAGCTTGGAGAGACAGATAAAGCTGTAGACTGAACTTTTATGCTTCAAAGAGGAGATCCTCTTATACCGCTTTTTGGACCAAGTGTGGTCCTTTTTATCCCATAGTAGGAGTCAACATCCTTTTGGAGTCTCCCACTGCCCCTGCAAAAGAACTTGTAATAAGGGAATAAGATACCTTATCATGGTCTTGTTGTGTTTGTTGTTTTTGTTGTTGTGTGGTTTTTTTTTTTTTCTTTCGACCAGTTGCCATCTATTACGCTGTAATTTAATGTGATAATACAGCTCAGTGCTGTTTCCATGTGTGGGTTTTTCCATGTGTCCTTTCATTTTCTGACTTCTTCAAGAGATTTCTCCCTTGAATTACCAGATACTAGATACTCTTACAGGGAATTACTGAGTCCGGTTTCATGGTAGGCTCTTCAGCCTTCTGACCCCGGGGGATGTTATCTTCTTTAGCTTTAATGCACATTGGTGTGCACCTTTAAATCTGATTTTTACCTGTGGGAGGTAATGAATCCAATTTGTATCAAGTGCCTTGGTTCTCACTTACTGAAGCAATACTTCCATCAGCTTGCGTAGGGTGATGTTAATTCTTAGGGTGTGCGCTTCTGTCAGCATTGCTTACTTTTCTGTGTGTTAGTCTGAAGTCATTGTAAATGCTTCAGTTATGCATTAGGGTTCTTATTTTCAGGACTAACATAGGCATGAACATTGGATTCTGTAGGAGTCCAAATTGTGTATCAAGAACAATTTTGCTATGAGGTACACCTCCAAGCCATTCTTTCCATCTAGTGTGTTGTAGCAATAGTTAGTAACCCGTATCTAGCCGTGCTTCAGGGAAGAGAATGGTGGTGAGCATATTCTCATGCCCTTTACATGAAAAGAAGGTACCTGTGGCTGTGTTTTGATGTTGTCGAACTGTAGAAAAAGTTAGGTTAGAAGGGACCTCTGGAGGTACTATAGTCCACATCCTTCCTCATACAGGAATAACTTCAGAGTTGGATCAGGATGTGCAAGGACTTGTCCAGCTGAGTTTTGAGTATCTCCAGAGATGGAGATTTTACAAACTCTTTGTGTAAGCCCTTTGATACTTAATCAGTATCATTATGATATTTTTTTTTTTTTAAAGATCCATTCAGCATTTCTCTTTCTACAGCTTATGCCTATTTTCTCTTGTCATCCTGCTACGTACCTTAAGGAAGAATCTGGCTTTGTCTATGCTATAATCTTCCTGCTTGGAGACCATCTCCTTCACTAGCTAGTTTTCCGTAGAAACTGTAGATTTGACACCTTACTCTAGCTTTGTCTGCTGTTGTCAGATTTTCCTCTTTTATGGTCAATTTGTTGTTTTTAAACATCCCTGGAGACTCTTACTTCATCTTCTCAATTAAGAAAGCAGTCTGTGATAGTATTGGGAGATTACATCCCTTGGAAAATATACCAGACTGTTTATTGAATATGGGAAAGATGCGAGAGAGGATGTAATAAACGGACACTCCCTGGATTGGGTGTATATTGAACAGTATTATACATTAGGCAGCCCCCTCCCATGCTATATCTTGGTGTAGTAGAAACATGGTTAGCTACAGGTGCTCTTCAGGTGACCTCTGTAACAGGTTCCTGTTGTGAAGATTTGCAAAGGGACAATGTGAAGTTCAGTTTGTACTTCAGCTGGCATTCTTTTTTTGAATTGGTATGATGCTCTGGTTCTTTGTTTAATATGGCAGCTGTGTCCACTATTTTGCTTTTATTTGCTCACTGCTCTTGAGAGGAGAACTGATACCTCATTTTTGTTACTGGGAATGTTCCTAAGCATCACGAAAACCAACAAAATCATTTAGTAGTATTGAGGATTGCCTCTGTGTGTGCAGAATACTTGTGATTTTTTTCCCTTTGTTTTTGAATACTTTGCATTTCAGAACTCTGAAAGTTAGGGAGAGGAAACTGGAATCACTGACACAATGTCTGTAGATGAGCCTCTCTATGTAGAAAGAACTTAGGATATCTTAGCATGAAAAAGTTTTTTCCATGTCTGTCCCCTCTCCTTCCCTCCCCTGGGACATGGCTCTGTATTATGTTTCTGCAGCTCAATGAGAGATAAGACAACACTTGAAAGTGAGTGCCCAGAAGCATCTCAACAGACAGTAATAGTAGTGAATAGCCATCTATCATTGAATATTTAGATCTGCACAATGACATGTTTTCTCTTTTGACTCATTTTAACAGATTTTTCAAAGACTGATCTATGCTGATAAACAAGAAGTTCAAGGAGATGGGCCATTTTTGGATGGAATTAACGTCACTATCAGAAGAAATTATATTTATGAAGATGCTTATGATAAACTTTCTCCTGAAAATGGTAGGTTTACAATTAAGTTCTCGTCAGCTTGTTTATAATATTTAACCGTTCTTACTATGTTTTTAGCCTTTCCTTAGGAAGAAAATTACTCATAAAACAGTGACAAGGGAGAACCAAATAAGCTTGTAGCAAGCAATTGGAAGTAATCTGTAGGTGAAGTTTTCTGTCTTGTTTACAGGTACAGAGAAGCCATAGTGGTAGTTGGCCATTGAAGTCCGAAAATCTGTTTTTCTGTGTGTGTGCATGACATACCATGTATACATTCTCTGAGAAGAGAGCTCTTCAAAGTTAATGTTTCAGTAGTACCTTAACTGAGATCATTAAGAAAACAAGCTTGGAATAGCAGAAATGTACTAGGTTGGTTCTTGTGCATTTGTATTTTTATTTGGTTGTTATATGCTTAATGTGCAGTCATTCCTGAATTTTTTTTTCCCCTGTGATTGGAATTTCCATATTCCATAATAGCCTCCATTGGACTCCAGTAACAGTTTAGTTTCATTCTAGCTATATAAGTTATAAAATTGGACTCTTCCTTTCAGAGGTTGCACTAACTTGGGGTCCACCTCTACCTGGTCACCTGTTTTGACATGTGACTTTGTTTTTGGACCATTTCACCCTCCTTGCTATGAATCTGGTTGTCAGTACATAGAGGAAGATAGAAATAACTGATTTTCTTTATAAGGCCCCCAAAAGCACTAAACCAACATTTTCTGTATATAAAAGTTTAAACTTTAATGCTCAGTATCTCAGGAGTCTTCAGACAAAGTGTGTCTGTATGCTTGAGAGTCTCTTTTGCCAATGGAACTGTGTTCTGTTTTCTTGTTTTGAATGGTACTGAGATAGTGGTGCTATTGCAGTGCCTGTGGCTAAAAACAGCTGTCCTGTATTTCCAGCCAGCAGAATTTTTGAGCAGGAGAGTGTTTCACTTGAATGAAGAACTCATAGGTAATTTTTAAAACTAGCTGAGTGTGAAATGGGAAGTTATTAGTAGATGTAGAGGCATTTGGGAGAGTGCGAGTAAGACACTCAGTGGTTCAGGAGAAATTCTGTTGCTACAAGGTCCTGAAGATTTTCATGAACATCAGCTGTCCATCCATAATGTGTGCATTTGTAGCACGTGGAAGCACGAAGCAGTAGAAGGTTTTATTGTTACTGGTTTGTTACTGATTGCTTTGCTGGAATGCAAGTGTAGTCAATGCTAAGGTTTAAATAAAAGCTGTGGGTTTGGTTAGATATTCGGAAGCCTTCAGTGAATTGAGCAAAAAGGTCCTCCTTCCCTGTCATGTATACATAGCTCAGGGACTAAATATTGCTTGCTTTCTCAAGTAGCAGCATGAAACAATCAGAACACCTCCCTTCAGAACGCGTCCATCTTTACCACACCTTGCTCACTGGAATTACATGATAAAGCAATGAGTCCAAAGTATCAAAAATATTAAGTTCAGTTTCAAAGATTATTATTTAATGGTGTGGCGTAACAGTCAGCCCTTCTAAGGGAATGCAGTGCTTATTGACAATTCCTTCAGACAGGGAAAAGTTGAACCTTGCATTCACAATCTTTTATATAAATAAAGTTTTTCAATTATTCATGGGCCTCTTTAAAATATTTTGTAGGATTTTTTTTCTTCCCCTACCTAATGTCTTTCCACTCCATCTTTTGATGGCTCTTAAAGCAAGACCCTGTGTACAAAGTGAGTTTCACATACTGAATATTCCAAAATTCAAGCTAGTAATACAGTTTTGCTGCAGTACTATTTACTAGTTCAATTATTTATGTAAAGCTAGTGTAGGTATGTTTGTATGTGTAGTTACATGTGTTTTTATCCAAAAATAATTGAAGCAGATAGTTGTACTTGACTTTGTCTCTCTCCTTTCTCTGCAGAACCTGACCTAAAAAAGCGCATTCGTGTTCACTTACTTAATGCACATGGTCTTGATGAAGCTGGTATTGATGGTGGTGGAATTTTCAGAGAATTTCTGAATGAACTACTTAAATCAGGATTTAATCCTAACCAGGGATTTTTTAAGACCACCAATGAGGGACTTCTTTACCCTAACCCTGCTGCACAGATGCTTGTTGGAGACTCTTACGCTCGACATTACTACTTTCTTGGAAGAATGCTTGGAAAGGTAAAAACAGTGTTGTATAATACAAAGCTATGGCAATACTGAAATTACTCAGTAATAGTGTTTTTTGTTTTTACATAGGGCTAAATTGGGAAAAAAAGATTTTTCTAGAGTTGAGGAAAACTAACAGAGACACTCTGACTGCCAGTTGAGCAATGAGTGCATATGTTTGCTTCTGTGTTTATCCTCTTGCTTAACTTTGGGTTGATTGAAGCCAATAGAATTACTCTGCTTACGGTGATTTTTTTTTTTTTTTAAAAACTGGAGCTTTCTGGAATTTGACTGCATTACATTTTCATCAGTTGGAATATATGAAATTAATATTTTCAGAAAGAAAGGGTTTCTAGTTGTGTGAGGTATACAATTCTTGCTAGCATTTAAAACGTGCTGTGAGCACTTACCATACTGAAGAGCCATATGCACTTAACTTCCATTTATTCTGTCTGTTTTTTCATACATTTTGCATCTTTGTTTTAGTGCTGGGTATTTTGGTGTTGTGAATGTTCAACACTTGTTGAGCTAGATTAAAAATGAAGGAGGGTGGGGGGAAAGAGAGAAACTGTTACACTCAGTTTTCTTTTATGCTCAGGTTTAGTACTAAGGCTATTTCCTCCTAAGCCCTTGAAATAATTTTTGTAAAGCTAATAATTGCAAAACAAAGTTTGGAATATAAATTCAATTTGAGAAAAAAACGTGTTGATTGCTACTCAGTTGTCTAAAACTGAAGGTATTTAAGATGTAAAAATCCCATTTAACTGCCTGGGTTATTCTGGAAGCTAAAAATCCTTCTGACTCGCAGTGAGATTTAACATACAGTTAGATGTCCTTTTAGTGTAGCTGGAAGCGGTTGAAGAGGATGTTGTTGGCAAACTTGAGTTGTTGAAACGGAGTGCTGTTCTTCAGATTTGCCAGACAACTGATTTAGATTAAACTGCCACTTTGTAGGCAAATTCTCTGCTAATGCATCCTAGCTATTGCAACATCCAAACTTGTTAAATAATAAAAATTTCAAATCAGCCTTTTCAATAAAATAATCTTTGAAGGATGTTCCTGCTCTTAATGGGAGATGGATTCAGTACTAATACAATGGTTTGTAATTATGACCTACGTTACATATTCAAGGCTTCATTTTCTTTCTGCATCTACAATTTTTGGAGTGGGGAAGCGAATACTACTGTAGTATTGTGAGGAAGTTATTTACTCCAAAAATGTTTACCTAGGAATGGGGCAGGGCTGAATTGTCAAGGGGAAGTTTGGAGCATTATTTAAAAAAAAAAAAAAAGATTGTAATTTTCAATCTGCAAGTTCCTCTGTCAAAACAACACATTGCTTTCTGTAATTATATTTCAAATGTTAGATGGAAGTGGCAAAATGTGTTTTCTCTCCCATAGAGTGCTACAAGGATAGTTTTGGTTTCGTCTTTTTAAAATCAGAGGATCTATTACTTAACATTTTGAAAGCACAAATTGTTTTTGTATTTGCAGTATGTTTACATAAGGTAAGAATTGACAGTGTTACTTAATAATTACCCTTACCCAGGTGCACAGACACCTTTTTAGTAGTGTATTTAGAGACTTGATGAATTAAACAGAAAGATAAGGCACGACCATACTATTCAAAACCTGCCAGTATTGTGATCGTGGTTAAGTTATTGAATACTCACTCACCCATTTTCAAAAATGTGTCCATTTTATGCTTTGCACAGGGTTATTTGAGAGCAATAGTGGATTATTAAAAGCCCCTTTGTAAACAAAATAGATATAGTGCAAAGGAAGCAATCAGGCATCCACAGCAATTTCTTATTTGTGGAAACCAGTATGTAAAGAGCGCTGCCACCAAAAACTCTCACGTAAAAAGTTTCAACGTTATCAGAAAACAAATACATTAAAATATAATAATTTTTAGAAATTCTCTGTTTCTTGGTAACTGTTTCATGGTAATATCCAAATGCATTTAACTTTCAGTACCATAGATTTACACTTAATTCACTTTTTCTTTTCAGC